ACTACACCTTCATTACCGTGAAGATCTTTTTTTTTCTTGACGAGAGAGGGATTGTATCATGTTCCACGCTGTTTCCGCATGCAAGTACACAAGAATTAGTATCCAGATAATCTCCAAAAAGCACGGAATTTCACTAAAGTCTGGTTCAAAGTTCGTTACCTGCATTATGCTAAATTGTTATCAATGATTTCTTGTGTGCTCCAGAGACCATTAACTCCAGTGACCCAAAGCAGCCTTTTTGTATCGACTGACGTTCGAACCATGATTTTGCAAAGCGCGTAAATGGATAATATTTATGATATTTAGTGTCACTTAGATTAGAATACATGTATTAATTAGTTTTAAGGACATTATGAGAAAAAATTATTTAAATAAAATATTTTGGCAAAATTAACTTAGAAAAACCCTTTTTTTCCAAATGTTCTCCTTTGTAAAATGCTTCTAATGTATTAATATTTTGCCTATATTCGGCTCAGACCTCTTACAGAGGCTCAACTAGAATTTTGAAATGCATAACTCGGAAGTCAGTTTATCCATGTTTTACGAAAACAGAGGAGAAATTTTAAGAAAATACGCCGATAATTATTTCAAATGGTTGTAAATCTGAAAGTAATTTGAATTTTTCAAAAATCATAGTTGAGCCTCTGTACAGAGGTTTGAGCTATATACAGGCAAAATATTAATACAATAGAAGCATTTTTTACAAAAGGAGAACATTTGGAAAAAAGTTAATTCTAAGTTAATTTTTTGCCGAAATATTGTATTTAATTAATTTTTTTTTATCATAATGTCCTTAAGACAATTGTATACATGTATTCTAATCTAAGTGACACTAAATATCATAAAAATTATCCATTTATGCACTTTTTTAAAATCATGGTTCCGAACGTAGTCGGATACCTTAAGAAGCCTTCGGCCAACTGTAGAACAAGAAACTTAGGATCCACTAGCACAGTGTCGTAACGGAGAATATTAAGGCCCTACTGCAAAGTCAGGTTTAGTCCCCAAGCCTAATCTTACAAACTTAGTAAGATCAGGTTTGGCATGAGACTTTGGGCCCCCTCGAATCCAGTCCCCCACCCACGATGCGAGGGTTGCTGGGGTGTACCGTTACGCCACTGCAGTGGTAGCATACAGCTGATGTAAGAGGTGTGAAGCTGTAGCAATCCTATGTCGCCACGCTAAGTACTGTGTGCAGAAAAACGCTAAATAATGATCCTCATTCGTTATTGACAATCGTTGTGGGTCTTAGTTTTGCCCAGTTCTTCTCGAAATGGATTTGGATCTAATTTCTTGAAACAATTTCCATAAACTGCAGACGATATTAGACGTTACAATGATCTGTATAGTCACATGCTCTTGTGACTGGTCTGCCTTTAATCTCATTCCCTCATCCAGTGCACGACAAAAGCTAGTCATTTTACCCTATACCTTATCAAATTCATCAAACAAGCGATAATGACGACAAATGTTGTGGAGAGAGGAGAACGAACATATTAATCGTCGGTAATATTCTTAGTGCGCTTATATCTCGTCTACAATCCCAGCATTGGAGACAAGCACGTGTATGCTAATTTGTTCAGTCTGAATTCTTGCAAAGTGCTTTAGAGGAGCTATTAATAATTTTGGTTTAATAATTTTTGTAAAAATAAACATATAATTTGAAATTCTCTTAATTTTGCACAAGAGTATATAATGGGTTAAGCAATGATTAAAAAAAATAGTTATCTTAAAATTATAAATGAATTTGTAGTAACAAAGGTACAAAAAGAAATAAATGAAAATGTCCTGAAATCTAGAGAAAATACGATATAATACAATAATTTACAAGAAATAAAAACAAATTTGTTACGAGAATTGTAAAAACAAAAAAAACAAAAAAAAAAAATCAAAATAACAAAAAGAAAATATAAGTGAGTAAGCATATATTTTCAAATGATATCCAAATTTCACTTTATTTGCTTTTAGTTATTTAGGTAAAATATAAAAACAAAAATATGACAGATCCAAAATTGGGCAATCATTAAAATGAGCATAAAGTTTTCTGTTCAATTAGTTTATTTGAACTCTAAACCCTCTATAAAACTTACAATGTCTATACACGTGCCAAAAGAAAAATAAATACAATACCAAATCCCATTAACACACAAACGCCTCTATCAAGAGGACTTTAATAAAGTTTGTGGTATGGTAATCAAACATGGAAATATTTACATGTGATTTCAATACCTTTGTTATTACATGAAAAAAAATATAAAGCAAGTTTTTATTTTTAATTTCAATAACCTTTTACATCTTAAGGGACTTGGTACGATTGGAACTGCAAAAACAGTTTTAAAGGACCGGCTACCATAAATGAACAGGGTTCGACGATTAATTGAAATGTTTAGAATTTTAAAAAAATTCTAGAAACAATTCAAGAACACAACCATTAGAGTTCAATATAAAAATGCAACCTCAAAATCGGGAGTGAAAAGTTAGTTAGCATATGTGCGTAACACAAGCAGTTATGATAAATATTAGTACAGTACCTGAATTAGTACGTGCAAAAACCATTAATTGTTTCATATAAAGGGTCTTAAAATACTTGCTGTTATAATGAAGTTTTCCATCCAAAACGCCACAAATGGAGATTCCTAATTTTTTCCTTATTTTTTCAAGTCAATTTTAAACAACTTACCTAAAAAGAAGAATGAAAGTACATTAAAATAATGAAAAAATACGATAAACGAATAGAAAAAAAATGTTCAACTAAGAACTTTTTAGTTTAAATTCTAAAGGGCAATAGCGCGAGGTTTCCCCCTTGAAACGTAAGAGGAGTATTTCTTTCACAGTCATTGAATATTGCGCATAAATGGATAATTTCCATGATATTTAGTGTTACTTCGATTAGACTACATGTATAAAATTGTTTTTAAGGACATTGTAACAAAAAAAATATTTAAATACAATATTTCGGCAAAAAATTAACTTGGAATAATCTCTTTTCAAAATGTTCTCCTTTTACAAAAAATTCTTCTAAAATAATAATATTTCGCTTATATAAAGTAAACACTTCTCCAGAGAGTCTGAACAGGGATTTTTGAAAAATTCACATAATTTTCACAGTTATCACCAATTGAAATAATTATCGGCGTTTTTTTTCCTTAAAATTGCTCCCTTCTGTTGTCGTAAAATATGGATAAACCCACTTCTAAGTTATATATTTCAAAAATTTTAGTTGAGCCTTTGTAGAGAGGTCTGAGCTATATGCAGTCAAAATATTATAATAGAAGCATTTTTCACAAAAGGAGAATATTTTGAAAATGGGTCATTTTATGTTCATTTTTTCTCAAAATATTGTACTTAAATACTTTTTAATTGAAATAATATTCTTAAAACAATTTTATATACATTTTCTAATGTAAATGACATTAAATATCATAAATATTATCCATTTATACGCGTTTGCAAAATCACGGTTCCGAACGTAGTCGGATACCTTAAGTCTCTTATACTTATTTGTGAATAAATTCTTTACTACACTTATTACAAAAAATGCATCATGACATGATACGAAAATATATGTATGCATTTAAACACCAGGAACTTAAAAGAATACACCAATATTTATGTTTGTTACATGCTTATATTAGCTTAAAATAAAACCAAACATTTTTAGTTTGTCTTTTTTAGAAATTGTCCAATGTAATAATCATAGTGTCAATATTTTAATTTTTACAAGTCTAAAAATTTAAAAATAAAACAATTCTGGGCATAATAATTTAATAACCAGTACACGAGGAGAGCAAAATATTAAAAATAAAGCAGTAAGTGAAAATGAAACGCGATTAAAGATGATAAATGGTGTACATTAACGATAATATTAAAATAACACTGAATTAACGGAAATAGAATATCAGTGAGCCAATATGTATACTAAATATTAATAAATCCATAAAAGTTATATATATGACACAAGCGTCGAAAAAAAATTAGAAAGAAAATTGACGTACTACATACCCAACAGTCAAATCAGCTTAAGAGATTTATAAAAATTTGCATAATCCTCACCATTAATAACTTGCTTCCAGATAATTATTTTTGATTTAGGTAATCTTTTATTACATAATTAGTTATTTTAATAACCATATAAAAATTTTAATACAAGTCGAATATTATTCAATAAAAGAAAACGGATAAAATAAGATTTACAGAAAAAAAAGAATCTACAGAATAATGAATCATAGCAAGAGAAATTGGTTTCTTCGAAGAATTTTATAGAGAAGCATTTTACAAACAATTACAACACCATATTATGTCTATAAATCACTTCAAAATGTCTTCCAGTCATTGTAAAAGAGATTAAATATTTTTCCGTTAGATAGACACAAGCTTTACTTGAAGGATGAGTCAAAAATGAAGTTTTTTTTTTACTGTAATGAAAAGAAGGCTCCAAGGCAAAGATGCGCAAATAACATTGGTCAAACCCACCTGTTCTCAAGTAGAAAAATATCAACCACACCCAACGTTTCAAATTAAAATTTACACCGCACCCTCGCGTACATCACGTTATCAGTAACATCAGGTAGAAGTTTGAGTATTTACATAGAGATTCCAAAAATAAAGTAATACAATATGAACGACCGATGAGATCAGGTAATAAGAGCGAGGTTTCTATTTAGTATACCTTTATCAAAAATATTTCAATACACTTGATCTTAAGAGTGTACATATTAACCCGGTTTTGAATTTCTTATGTCCTTCTTCAATTCCTACTATTAGTTCACATTCTCCTATATATTTATTTATATATATCTTGTTCAAAATTTCAATCGTTAATAAAATACTTTCTGTTCATCCACTCAAGTTCAAATACATTTTTTAAAATTTGTACTGGATGCCACATTTGATGTTAATACAGTTTTTCAGATATTAATTTTATTTAATTTTTGAATAAATAGTAACAAACAAATAATAATAGTCTAACACCACATACAAAAAGGAAAATCGCTCGTTGTGGTCCTGTAGCGCAATGGATAGCGCGTTGGACTTCTAATCCAAAGGTCGTGGGTTCGAATTCCACCTCGGATGTCCTAATTTCTGAGAATTTGATTTCTTTTTACTGTACTATTTTATCGGAATAAGTAAATTTAAATTATGAATAAATAGTGACACAAACAAAATTAATATTCCAATACCATATATAGGAAGGAAAACGGAAAACTGCAAAAAAATCGATTTCTATTTTGCCACTTCATATTGTGATTCTGTCATATATGTTACTGTTGTTTCTAATGTCACCTGATCGGCAAAGGCCAGATCGAGGCCCACGAAATTCATCATGGCAAGGGGCTAGTTGTACGCCTGTCGTTAATCTTAGCTTTGAGCACCATACAGGTGACAGTACGATTTGGCTCGATTCCACCCCAATTTAGAGGGAGAACACTCTGGGGGTTGTCAGAGGCCTCCCACCTCTCTTCCCCTTCCACCAACCACACGAGAGGAGTTGAGGCTCGACGGCTATTTAGAATACCCCCATACCACGCAGGCACTATACATTTCCAAACATCCATGTCTTCTCCGGGATTCGAACCCAGTCTCTACGGCACAGCAGTCAGCGTCGCTAACCACTATACTGGATGGGCAACTGTCATATATTTATGTACATATTTATATTAATTATCATTATTTAATAAAAAGTAACTAAAATAAAACTTTTCTTTGCAGACTTGAGTAGGAATTGATTTAATTTTTTTTATATTTATATTACTTTTTCAGTTGTATAATCGCAATACAGTATTGTCCCTAAAACTCGGCACTCGATAACCCGGCAGTCCGGATAACTCGGCCACACCCTAGCAGATCGAAAAAACCTCACGTGCAGACCTGTAGCTCCAGGTAAATATCGAACAAGACATTATGTCCGATGCAGATATTATTGCTGCTGTCACAGTTAATGAAAAATTTCAGAAAAATGAAAATGTTAATGTTGAGGGCACCGTACAAACTCCTAAAATACACTCATGGACAAAAAAAATAGCGCACCAAGAAGGAATCGTCAAAACGAAACGAAATTTTACATACGTAACGAGTACTTTGATATAAGTAAATGATTAGAAGATCAAAAAGAAAAAGGACCATTTATTTCAGAGAAAAAGGCAAAAGAACGGAGGATTTAATGCCCTGTCTAGAACGAATGCACGATGCGATACGATCGGGCATTGAGGCATACAAGTTCTGTATAATATCTTGAGACATTTCGTTTAATATTTGCTGTAACCTTGCCTCTAGATCGTCCAAACTCGTGGGATGCGTAACTCGCCATCCCAAATAATCTCAGATGTGCTGGATTGGAGACAAATCTGGGGATCGGGCAGGCCAAGGAAGGGTAGTAACAGTGCGGAGACAGTCTTATGACAGTCCCTTGCCGTGTGAGGCCGAGCATTGTGTTGTTGAAAAATGGCTCCTGGGAGCCGTTGCATGAGTGGCAATACATGTGGTTGCAGGATGTCATGGACATACCGCTAGGCTGTCATGGTGCCACGGATCAATACTACGGGTGATCGTGTATTGTAAGCAATGGCACCCCATACCATCACACCAGCTGTGGGAGCGATGTGTTCTTGTCCATTTTTTGTTCGAAAATGGCGTAATGGCATGTCTACCTCAGCTCTTTCTTTGTAAGCGATTCAGCACACTCAAACAATCTTTGGTTACCTGTTTTATACTCCACGGAGCACGACGTTAAACGCTCTCTACCAGCTATACGTAATGCGCAATCACGCTGCATTTCTAATCATTTGCATATCTCCCCGACATGTACCTTCATGCCAAGTTTCGTTACGATCGCGCAATTATTTCTTGGTGCGCTAACTTTTTTGTCCATGAGTGTATCACAAGTGAGAAACTAAAGGGTGTCGAAACCGCCCTTCAGTTTTTTGAACAAGGTGCGTCGGTGATGGATTTTCTGTTAGTTCATTGTCTTCGTGATGAGACAGTAAAATGCAGAGTGCAGTGCGGAAGACAACAGGACGTCGCGCATTCCTTTAAAAAAAAAAAGCCAGTTTTTGCAAAACCGGCTAATTAATTTTCATTATAGACAGCTTTATGTCTTCATAAAGTACTTTTCTGAGGTGTGTCTGATCAAATAAATTACAGTATATTATGTATTCATTAATTTTCATTTACATGTTGTAAATGCTCCTTGCCTTCATAAAGTGCGGACTTTTCCTTTGTCCAGCTACTTGTGACATTTTTTTTTTTAAATGGAGATAAGTGGATTTTTTATTTTTATTTTTTTTTTTAGACTTATTTATTACATTTTTAGAAAAATATGCTAAAATTAAGAAGAGAAAAACAAGTTATTATTAACTAAAATGGTAAAAAATTGGCAAAATTTATGAACAAATTTCAATTTTGATGTGTTGCTTCGCTATTCATTTTTGAAATGAGCCTCAGGATAAGAAATATTTTAATTTTTACAAAGTATACTAGAGCACTTTATCTTGGTTATTATATATGAAATTACTTTAAAAAACAGTGATTACATTCACATAAGGGACTGTAAATTTTGTAATAAAACAGTGATTGATAAATTTGAAGGTTAAAACACTTCTACTGTTATACAGAATATACACAAAAAATTTCAGTTAATTATTTTTAAAACTTTTTAAGCAATCACTGCCCCATTTGTGCATTTCGCTTTAAGTAGCGGCATTTGCTTTTATTAAAATACTTGTAGTTTTTGTTCTAGTGAATGGAAAATAATAAACTTGATATTTTTATAAAGCTAATAAGATGGCCTATAAAATAAAATCATAAAAAAATATAGTCAATTTTTGGCAAAATTTACAATTTTAGGGTAATCGGATACCTTAAGATTATTTTGACAGTTTATTTTTTGTTGAATACTCAAGCAAACAATACATACAAGAGCAGCAACCGACTAACCTTAAGCTTTCGTACTTCTTTTTTTTTTTTAATGGTATTCTCCTTTTTTAATGCTTTCTTACTTTATTTATGGTAATCATTCGATGATGAAAATCCGAAAATTTCAAAAAATATATAGAAACAATGTTATTATTTCAAAAGTTAAAGTATATCAAAGGATTAAATTTTGCCTAAAATTTCATGAAAAAAAGAAACCTCCCTTGTTTAAAAAAATGCAGCGGAAGTCTTACTTAAGGGTACACAATACGATTCAATTTACAAAAATTGATCAAAATTGAGTCTAATTTTTTTTTTTTAGCTTAAATGTTTTTATGCATTTTGTTATAATCTCCCAAAATTTCAAAGCTCTAAGTTTAAAAAAAGCAAGAGTTATGCTAAACTTTTATTCACATCCCAATGGCAAATAAATCTGATTTATCTCAAAAAAAAAACTAGTTATTCTTCATTTAAAATGCTAAGTTTTTTTTTTTTCCTATTGTGCCAAGTACTTTGATTTTTTTTCTAACTATTGCTATTAACATACGTAATAAAAGTTAGCATTCGATATTGAATCAAAGCAATATTTATTATTTAAAAAAATAATTGAATTTAGAATTGATAATTTTTTTAAGGAGTTTTCAAAAGCACCCAAAAAATTTTTTTAAAAATCCCCCTTTTTTTATGCATAGTTCGGAGTACTGGTAAATCAAATTTCATGTGGGTAAGTCGATTCTAGTAGGAAGAGTAGCATTTTAAAAATCACTTCATAAATTTTTAAATTTTTTCTAAAAAATTAAACTGTTAGCTTTTCGTGGTATTTTGAGCACAAAAACTGCTTCACATCGTGCACATATATAAAGTGGCAGCCAAAAAAGAAACCATTAAATCAAGGTTTTTGGTATTAATCGTACCATGTCTCCTTAAGAAAGAAATATAAACTTATTTTATACATAAATCTATATAAAATTTATGAATTCTATGCGTTTTTTTAAAAATAAAATCTTTTACTGTTCCTTTCAATTCTTTGCAACAACTTATTTTTAAAAGTACATTTCACAGTATAAACTTTTTTCCTTAAAAAATTCAATACATTGAAAAGTTAAACAAAAAATCGGTCAAAAACGAATGAAGAATAAAACAAAATTCTTCTACGGCACTGACAATGGACAATGACCTGTTACATCCTGTAACCTGTTATACTTTTTTCATCAAAACAAAAAAGGAAGTTTTGTTGCATTAATCATTGTTTTGAAAACAGTTTTAATTTAGATATACATTTCAACATTTTTTAAATTTTTTAAAGTTTAAAATAAGTATAAAAGTATAAGTAATTAATAAGTTTGTATTCACAAAAATCAATTATTTCAATTCAACAAAGAGATTGTGTATTAGTCCTTCTAAACCAGATGTTGTTAGCAATTCATTTAATTTTATTGCATATTTATTTTTAACTAGTAAAAATATTCACACTGAGCTAAAAAAAAAATATTTTAAAATGTGTTTTTTAATGAATTTTTCTTAAGGTATCCGACTACTTTGGGGCAACTTTTTTGAAAAAAAGGAGATATGGGGGTTTTTGTGATTTTGATTTATTTTAAAATATTTTAAGAAAAAAATCGAAAATTGGAAAAAAGAAAAAAAAAAAAAATTATTAAAAATGGGAAAAACTGGTGAAAATGTATAAAAATTACATAAACGGGGCCCGCTCTGTACAAAATGTTTTGAATAAATTTTCAATTTTTTTAAAATGTGCTACTTTTTTATTCATGTTTGAAATGACCTTCAGGGTAATAGATGTTTTAATTTTCAAAAAATAGACCATTATCTTAGTTGTTATAGAAATTGCTTCAAAAAAAAAGTGATTATATTACATAAAGGTTGATTTGAAATAAAGCAAAATTGATAAACTGAAGGTCAAAAAAACTTTTACGTATAAGAAACTTACAAAAAAAATTTTAGCAAATTAGTTTCAAAACTTTTTTAAACCTTTCCCCGTTTATTTTTTGAAAACTCATTTCGATAAAACTCATTTTAATGTTTGACATCTTTGTAAAGTTATGGATTCTTTTTTTTAAAAAACTTGAGTTTTTTTTTCAGTGAATAGAAAATAAAAAAATTGGATTTTTTTTAAGCTAATAAGATGGTCTATAAAAAAAAATCAAAAAG